AGCCTATCCGATGTTATCCTGACGCCAAATGACTTCGAACAGGCGATAAATGACATGCCCATGCACTCTGCCCCAGGGCCAGACTCATGGAACTCTGTGTTCATCAAGAACTGCAAGAAGCCCCTATCACGAGCCTTTTCCATGGACATGGGGGTCGTCCCTCAGTTACTAAAAACAACAGACATAGCCCCACTCCACAAAGGGGGCAGTAAAGCAATAGCAAAGAACTACAGACCAATAGCACTAACATCCCATATCATAAAAATCTTTGAAAGGGTCCTAAGAAGCAAGATCACCACCCATCTAGAAACCCATCAGTTACACAACCCAGGGCAACATGGGTTTAGAACAGGTCGCTCCTGTCTGTTTCAACTATTGGATCACTACGACAAGGTCCTAAATGCACTAGAAGACAAAAAGAATGCAGATGTAATATATACAGACTTTGCAAAAGCCTTCGACAAGTGTGACCATGGCGTAATAGCGCACAAAATGCGTGCTAAAGGAATAACAGGAAAAGTTGGTCGATGGATCTATAATTTCCTCACTAACAGAACACAGAGAGTAGTCGTCAACAGAGTAAAGTCCGAGGCAGCTATGGTGAAAAGCTCTGTTCCACAAGGCACAGTACTAGCTCCCATCTTGTTCCTCATCCTCATATCCGACATAGACAAGGATGTCAGCCACAGCACCGTGTCTTCCTTTGCAGATGACACCAGAATCTGCATGACAGTGTCTTCCATTGCAGACACTGCAAGGCTCCAGGCGGACATCAACCAAATCTTTCAGTGGGCTGCAGAAAACAATATGAAGTTCAACGATGAGAAATTTCAATTACTCAGATATGGTAAACATGAGGAAATTAAATCTTCATCAGAGTACAAAACAAATTCTGGCCACAAAATAGAGCAAAACACCAACGTCAAAGACCTGGGAGTGATTATGTCGGAGGATCTCACCTTCAAGGACCATAACATTGTATCAATCGCATCTGCTAGAAAAATGACAGGATGGATAATGAGAACCTTCAAAACTAGAGAGGCCAAGCCCATGATGACACTCTTCAGGTCACTTGTTCTATCTAGGCTGGAATATTGCTGCACTCTAACAGCACCTTTCAAGGCAGGTGAAATTGCCGACCTAGAAAATGTACAGAGAACTTTCACGGCCCGCATAACGGAGATAAAACACCTCAATTACTGGGAGCGCTTGAGGTTTCTAAACCTGTATTCCCTGGAACGCAGGAGGGAGAGATACATGATTATATACACCTGGAAAATCCTAGAGGGACTAGTACCGAACTTGCACACGAAAATCACTCACTACGAAAGCAAAAGACTTGGCAGACGATGCACCATCCCCCCAATGAAAAGCAGGGGTGTCACTAGCACGTTAAGAGACCATACAATAAGTGTCAGGGGCCCGAGACTGTTCAACTGCCTCCCAGCATACATAAGGGGGATTACCAACAGACCCCTGGCAGTCTTCAAGCTGGCACTGGACAATCACCTAAAGTCAGTTCCTGATCAGCCGGGCTGTGGCTCGTACGTTGGTTTGCGTGCAGCCAGCAGCAACAGCCTGGTTGATCAGGGGCTGATCCACCAGGAGGCTTGGTCACAGACCGGGCCGCGGGGGCGTTGACCCCCGAAACTCTCTCCAGGTAAACACCACCTAGTTCTTCATATCCAACTTTGGCTATGCTGTATCTCTACCAAACACAAAGATATTGTTTTTTGTTGGGTCTCTGGTCATGTTGACATACAGGGCAATGAACAGGCAGACACTGCTGTGCGGTCAGCAGTACATGACCTCCCAATTTCATATAGAGGTGTTCCAGTCACAGACTATTTCACGGAAATTGCTACCCACCTTCACACCGGTTGGCAACAACATTGATCTGATCTGCTCCATAACAAACTTCGTTCTATTAAACAGAGTATAGGTTTCTGGCCATCTTCTTGTCGTCGGTGTCGAAGTTGGGAGACTGCTCTCTCCCGTCTTCGCATCGGCCATGCTCATCTTACTCACAGGTATCTCATAGAGAGGCGCCCTGTTCCTCTCTGTGAGAATTGTCAAGTTCCAGTATCTGTTTGCCACATTCTGTTTGACTGTCCACTCTGTCCACTCTGTCGTCTCCACTCCGCTGCCCTTTCTTTACCTTCTCTCCCTGCTAATGGACCCTCCTTTAATCCAGACTCTCTCATTGACTTTTTAACAGCAACTGATTTACTACATAAACTCTGATGATGACGCCTCTAGCACTCTCTTCTGTCCTTTCTACCTTACTCTCTAGCTACCCTCTACTCCTGCACTATCCACTGCCCCACTGCACTCCATACCCTAATAATCATCCCTCTCCCTCTTGCCACCCATTTCCCCTGCATCCTTCCCTGCCCTGCTGCGCTGTATAACCCTTGTGGTTTAGCACTTCTTTTTTATTATAATAATATACCACAAGACAGGCAGAAAGCACCAACTTCACTCTGGCTGTACCCTTCTCCAGAACATCACTTCATCTGAGATCATTTATCCCCAGGATGACTCGAGTCTGAAACACATTCGTACAGTATTATGATGTCAATGAGATAAAGTCAGTTGATCAAATGAAAATGCTGGCCCACAGATGGCTCCAACTTTATTCTTTTCCCTATTTGTATGTTTCATAACAAAAATACTTTCAAATGAGCTGATGTAGGTAACAGCTCTTAGCTTGTCAATAAAGTTAGGAATCCTTAACTTGTAAATAGCTTGTCAAACCCTGTGTAAAAGAGAGAGAGAGAGAGAGAGAAGGGAGGGTATTCCTGATAATGTTCTCATGCATATGTCTTACCTTTGATGAGTTTCAAGAATCTTTCTACTCCTGGAGGGTATAGTCCTAAACCTACATCCCACCATAACTACACGCTGGAGTGAGAGAGAGAGAGAGAGAGAGAGAGAGAGAGAGAGAGGAAAAATGTGTAAAATTGGTCATATGAGAAACAGAGAAACTGTAGGCACAATAAGAGAACATTGTGACAATGTTCATTGTCCAAGACTTGCCGCCAGCAAATTCCAGAAATATTGCTGGAAAAAGTGTAGAAGCATCATAGCAATAATGGTACACAGTATCAACAAGTTGATGAATAAGATGCATGTGCAACACCTGGGTATGAAATTAAGACACATGTGCAACATCTGGGTATCTTTATTGTAGACGTTTCGCCATCCAGTCTACAATAAAGATGCCCAGATGTTGCACATGTGTCTTAATTTCATCTTGTCGGTATTGTATACCATTCTTGCACAACACCTGGGTATCTTTGTTCTGAAGATGTTTTACCAACCAGTGGCTTTATCAATTCAGTATAAAGGTTATTGAAAGGTGTTGAAACTGGAGACAGTAGAAGATGAGGTGATTAGTCACTCAGCCTAGATGAAAGTGCTCAACATCATATAGTCTTGGTGAATCTGATGCAAAGGCAAGCTGAATGATGCTTATATAGCAGTCAGGTAAGTTACAGCACTTGAAGGTTTCAACACCAGTGGGCAGGACCTGCCTGCCGATGACAAAGCCTTCAACTACTGCAATTCGTATGACACCTATATACACGTCAGTCCCCCTGCCTTTGCTTCAGATTCATCAAGACAAGGTGATGAACACCTTCATCAGGACTGAGGGACTGATTACCTCATCTGCTGTCTCCAGTTTCAACACCTTCCAATAACCTCTGTATTATATTGATAAAGCCACTGGTTGGCAAAACGTCCTTAGAATAAAAATACCCAAGTGTTGCACACACATCTCATTCATCAAATGTAGAAGTTTTTAATAAGAAAGTGGATCATTACTAGTACCTCCACCAAGTGCCACATCAACCAGTCTGTGATGGATGTCTGAGCCAGTGGGCCAGTAACAACAACAGGTAATCAATAAAGAAGCTTGGCCCCAGGCTGGGCTGTGAGGATAGAAAATCTCAAAATCAGTCAGTTATGTACATAAAATGAGAATTGAACACCTCATCAGGCTTACTGGTCTGTGCTTGACAGGTCTTTGTCAGATTCACTTCTTCTCACCCATGTGTGTGTGTCCAGCTGCTTCTTAAAGCTACTCAAAGAATTAACTTCAGTCGCCATACTTGGTAGACTATTCCGCTCAACAAATCTGTTCCAGAACCGGTATTTTCCTACCTCTGTTCTAAGTCTAAGGTTATCCATTTTCAATCCACTATTTCAATCCTCTTTTGATTACATATCCTTAATATTCTATTTATGTAATCAAAAGAGAATTGAAATAGTGGATTGAAAATGGATAACCTTAGACTTAGAACAGAGGTAGGAAAATACCGGTTCTGGAATAGAGTTGAGTGGAATAGTCTATCAAGTATGGTGATTGAAGTTAATTCCTTGAGTAGCTTTAAGAAGCAGCTGGACACACACACACACACACATGGGTGAGAAGAAGTGAATCTGACAAAGACCTGTCAATCACAGACCAGTAAGCCTGATGAGGTGTTCAATTCTCATTTTATGTACATAACTATGACTGATTTTGAGTCTCCATGTGTATACTTCAGTTATGTCTCCCCTCATGCTGTGTCTTTCAAGAGTGTAGGCTCAGAGTTCTCAGTGTATCTGTTGAAAGATTCCTTATACAGTGGACTAATTTGGTCATTCTCACTCTTGCTCTCTTTCTGTCTGTCTCTCCTCTCTTACCGCCTTCCTTCTTTCCTGTCTTCCTTTACCCCATTTTCCATTTCCCTCCCTATTTCCCCCTCTCCTGTTTTTTTTTTATTGTGACCTCCTTCAAACTTATGATTGAGCATTATTGAAATGACATTTTGTTGTTGTCAATTCTGGCAATATTGTTATGCTTTGAGTCCCTCTCCTGGAAGGTGCCTTGGTGCTGATGAAGAGTTCATGATCTATGGAATTTGGTTACCTCCCATTCCCTGGGCATTGTATGACTCCTGTGTATATAGCACTCCCACAAATATAATAATAGTAATTTTAATATTTTTCAGTCGGGAGCACCACCACAGAAGTCGTTCACGCGAACGAGAGCGACGACACCGCTACTGATCTTCCTATGCAGTATTTGTACTACAGATAAAGAGGAAATTCTTTATATATTTCCCACAGTTAATTTTTAAAAGCTCTAGCATAGTGTCTTGATCAGTTTATAATGAGCTTCTGAAGAAGATACATTTATAAATACACTTATTTTGTAATAATTATTTTTAACATGCTAATTTTTAATGAAAATCAAGTAGCATGGTCATCTATGGCCATGATGTTGTCTTTTATTTCTGCCATTGGTTTTTGTTTTTAAAAAATCGTTGGTAGAGCTATAAATTGGTTTGCATTATCTATATAAGAATATCTAAAAGATACTCATCATAAATTTGGTAATCGGAAGCATACACGAAAAGTACAGAGGTGTGTGTAACTTTCAAACACCTGGACTACAAGCAGGATCCAAAAGTTGTCTTTGTTAAATTAATTATCTTATTAATGCCATTCTGCCATTATGAATGACACTTGTCTGATTACTAAGAACATGGCTACCTTTCACAGAATGTTGTTGAGTTTGTCACAAAGACACATTCTTGTTGCTCCTTAATTTAAACTTGAATAATTACAAATAATTATCCTTGTAATATTATTTTCTATACAATAATATCTGCATAACAGATAACTCATTCATATATTGAAATAGGCACTTAATTCATTTGTATGTTTAAACACTAGGAACTCACCTTGTTAGTTGAAACACCAGGAACTGAACATGTTCATGAGTTGGGGTCAACCTCTGTACTTTCTAGGTAATTCCAAGTAACAGATGTTCTGTGCATTCACTTAGTGTCAGTGTAAGCTGAATTTATCAAATTTAATTATCTTGGTGAGCTAACATTATTCCTGTTGGTATTAGCAAACTCAAAATTTAATGACACATGATGTGTACACATCACGTGCCTATGGTATGTACACGTGATGTATTAATGGGACATGTGTACTTGGGTGATATGTTGCACATGTAAACATGTGCACACACATTAAGTGCATACACTGTGCTTTTAATGCAGTCTTTGACTGTTTATGTATTCTGTATAGAAAATATAAAAAAAAGTCATGTAGTGCAGTAACTTTATTTTTTATGGAATACGTATATTATCTATGAATCTTTTCATCAAGAGAAGACTTTAGAAAACATTGATCGTCTTGGAATCGTCAATGTTCACGGTTGGTTAGTCTCTTAACTTTGTTTCTAGTTCACAAGAAACACAAATGATATTCAGTGTTAAATCTCTACTGAAATTTTGATTACCATGACATGCCACAGATTTTGTGCATGGTGTAGTTGTTTAGTCTGATAAACAGGTTCAAGTGTGCCTGATAAAATGTTGGTTATATAGATGGTTTCTGAACATGGATAAGAATTGTGTTACAGAATGTGCAGATATGTACATGAACTCTGAACATAGATAAAAAATCTGTGCTACAAGAAGTTGTTGGATATTTAGATGAACTCTGAATATGGATAAGAAGTGTGTTATGAAATGATGGGGATCATAATTATTGTCGATAATTAATATAAAAGTTTTCACTGGTTTAATGAAAATCCTGGGCCTGTGTAAGAGACCATGACAGTTTATAGTAAGCCAGATTACGGGGCCATATTTCATGCTTAATGAAATAAAGTTTAATAACAAAATATAATTTTTCACTTTGAATGGAGTACCACTCTATATTTTGATTAATACTCATGATCAGATAGCATATCTAAAAAAAATAAGATTATTGTGCCCTTGAGTTAAGTAGAAAGTTGAGAGTAGAAAACTTTTTTTTTGATCAGTGCTTGACCATAGATAGTGGCCAGATTCAACAAAAGGTGATTTAGTTGGAGTAGTTGCCATGGATATTAAATTTGACCTAAGGGTCTGACAATGTCAGAAAGTCTGTTGGCCTTAGAAGAACACAGCGCTGTAAACAAAGTGGTAGTGGTGATAGTTCATCTTGCTTGTTGTGAAAGGCCCTCCAGAATGTCTTACGTTTGTCATCAATTTTCCACAGTTTGCTTAGTAGGTAATTTAGTTATGAAATGAATAATAGGCAAGTGCATAACTAATATACTTGTATGTACGTTGATTGAGTGACTTCATTACATATTTGTTGCTTTAGTCATCTGGATAATATTTTCATGTTTATGCAATAATCATTTAGTTTTTGGCTTGGAGATATATTGATCAATAATTTTAGATAAGCAGATGTATGCATACTATCATACTATTGTCTACTGCTGATTTGTTTACTTAAAGGTACAGGTATCCCTCACCTTGTGCGAACTAGCTTAAATACGGTTATCCCAATTCTAGCAGTAATTCACTCTTACATAATAGACCCAAGCCCATCCTCACTTGATATTTTAACAATATCTTCCTAATGCCTTCACTGTTAGAAGCCTCAAATTAAAAAGTGCTGACACAATTTTTTTAAATGTTTTTTCTTTCTTAAGGTAATAACACCAAAAAATATGAAATTTGATGAAAAACTTATGGAATTATGCAGGCACAAAGTTAGCGGTCTGGGCACAATTTATGCATACAATCTATACATTGGCAAATTTGCCCTCTTTGAGTAATATTTTTATCCAATTCCGTTTGACCAAATTCTAAACTATTTCACTAGTATGCCCTCCGTTCTGTTGATTGAGCACAAGAAACCGCCCATTCAACTATCAGAATGATCTGATACAGTGCACTCGGTAGTTAACCAGTTTTACACAAGAATTTAAAAAATTCCAGTTTATAAACAAGAGTCCAAAATGAACTCTGTAGACATTCTAGGCACTAAATCAACATTCTTCTTTCTTTCAATGTACCAGCCGCATCCCACCGAGGTGGGGTGGCCCAAAAGGAAAAACTAAAGTTTCTCCTTTCAAATTTAGTAATATATATAGGAGAAGGGGTTACTAGCCCCTTGCTCCCGGCATTTTAGTCGCCTCTTGCGACACGCATGGCTTACGGAGGAAGAATTCTGTTCCACTTCCCCATGGAGAACTAAATCAACATTTCCTCTATTAATTAATCACATTCTCTTATATTACACTTGCCCTCCATTTTGAATTTATCATGATGATAAATCAAATATTTACCTTGCTTCTCAAATAATAAAAATATAACCATTATGGTTTACGGTATCTTAATGATTGGATCAGACCTAGTAAAAATCCACAAAACAAGCTGGGTGGATGTAGCGGAGACCTTACCCATACTCAGGAAAATTATCAAAAATCTGATATTTCTGCTACTTTGAGCCTGAATTTGGCTTCTATTCCATTCAAGCTACTTCTGCTCCTGTAATCAACTATTTCAGTAGTATGTCTTCCATTAGGTTTGCTTTTGCCATCATGCACTGCCTGGGGCAGGTTTTTTTTTTTTTTTATGTATACTGTTTACGCTCATCGCATGGACTCATTCTTCCTTGTCTAGGCCAAAATTTACCATTCACACCCTACCTCAGGGAACTGAGCACAGAATGTTGATCTACATAAGTGACCTTGCTGTCAATGGTGGCAAAAGTGTTAAGTGCCACCCAAAACCAGTTTATATTGGCATTTATTAAAAAAATGAGAGAAAATACAAATGGGTCTGGGAAAGCATGTAAATACAGACACATGTGCAGAGTTCAAGACATTTATTGAGATCAAGTTTCACCATAAGTAACTTCACAAGCCACTTGTGGAAAAACTTTTCCATAAATATCTTGAACTTTGTATGTGCACATGTGTGTGTGTGTGCATGTGTGTGCACACAGGTGTGCATGTGCACATGTGTGTGTGTATGTGTGTGTATGTATGTACGTACATACATAATGTCAGCATCACCATACCTCGTGTCATCTGAGAAAACAGTTTTGAACAAAATCCTGTTGTCACTGTGGTATAGGAAGTATGATTGAATTTTAAATTTTAAATATTTGTTTACAAATGTGGAATTTGCAGTTTCAGTATATGTACCAATGTCTTAGTCTATACTGGTTGCTTCATGCCCCGCCGAACCCACAAAATGAGGACATTGTATGAAATTATTGGGAACATTTAGGGAGATCAAGCACTTCCGGAAAAACATGATTATTAAACATGTTTTAAAAATGTGTTAAGCGTCACTTCCTGTTTCCTCACCACTTCATCACACATACTCCCACCCTTACATCACACATACCTCCCCCACACACACACTCCCCTCCAGCCACTTACATCACACAATCTCCAGCCCTTTCACACCATACCTCCACCACTTACACACACAACTCTCCAGCCCCTTACATCACACTCTCCCACCACTTTCATCACCATACTCTCCACCACTTTCATCACACATACTCCCACCACTTTCATCACACATACTCCCACCCCTTACATCACCATACTCTCCACCACTTACAACACACAACCTCCCACCACTTACATCACACATACTCTCCCGCCACTTACACACAATATCTCCACCACTTACATCCACATACCTCCACCACTTACATCACACATACTCTCCACCCCCTTTCATACACATACTCCCCAGCCACTTTCATCCACAACTCTCCAGCCACTTACATCACACTACTCTCCACCACTTACATCACACATACTCCCACCACTTTCATCACACTACTTCCAGCCACTTCATCACACAACTCTCCACCCTTACATCCACAACCTCCACCACTTACACCACATACATACTCTCCGCCACCCTTTCTCACAATACTCTCCAGCCACTTACTCAAACTACTCCCAGCCACTTACCACCCTCTCTCCACCACTTACATCACACTACCTCCACCACTTACATCACACATACCTCCACCATTTCTCACAAACTACTCTCCAGCCCTTACATCACAAACAACTCTCCCCACTTCATCACAATACATACCCTCCCCACTTTTCATCACAAAATTCCCACCACTTTCATCAACATACTATCTCCAGCCACTTACATCACAAACAACTCCCACCACTTACATCACAATACTACCCTCCAGCCACTTACATCACCAAATCTCCCAGCCCCTTTCATCACAATAAACCCCCCAGCCACTTTCATCCCAAACCCCCCCCAAAATACAAAACCTTCCACCCCAACACCAACCCCCCCAAATTTTAAATACCATCTCCAGCCCTTACACACATTACATACTCTCCAGCCACTTACATCACAAAAAATACTTCCCCCCCACTTTCATCACACATACAAACCCCCACCCCTACATAACAACAAATCTCCACCACTTACATCACAATACATACCTCCAGCCCTACATCACACATACTCTCCAGCCACTTACTCACAAAACAACTCTCCACCCTTACATCACACATACTCTCCAGCCACTTACTTACACATACATACCTCCGCCACTTAATCACAATACCTCCCCCCCACTTTTCAATTCCCCCACTTAAACAAACTCTCCAGCCCCTTACATCACAATACTCCCCTTTCCCGCCACTTACTCACATATCATACTCCCAGCCACTCATCACTATACATACCTCCAGCCACTTACATCACAAAAACAACCTCCCCAAACCCACTTACAAATCCCCCCACATACATACCCCACCACTTACATCACAATAAAAAACCCCAGCCACTTACATCACACATACAACTCCCACCACTTAATCAAAAACATACCTCCACCCCTTACATCACACATACATATTTCCCTCCAGCCCCACTCCCCCTATTTTACCCAAAATACAACTCTCCAGCCACTTACGTCACATATACATACTCTCCAGCCACTTACATCACACATACATACTCTCCAGCCACTTACGTCACATATACATACTCTCCAGCCACTTACATCACACATACATACTCTCCAGCCACATTTGTTTTTTATGTTCTCTTAGAATTGATTAATTTTAGTTAATTTACTTAAAGCTAACCTAAAATAATGTACATTGAGAAGTTGTGTATGTTAGAGAACAATGATCACAGTGTTGATGCTGCTTCTCTCATATATTCTCTCCATCACTTATAAACTACTTTTTTATTGGGAGTTTGTGTCGCATTACTATGATGATTAAACTAATTGTTTGTATAGAAAGTTAATTTAAGATTAAGAGCTTTTGTTCATGCTACTAATATTTCAGGAAAGATGGTCTCTTAAAAATTTTAGGCAATAATTTTGCTGTTTTGGAAAAAATGGAAAGAATTTTTTTTAAATTGAATATTAGAGGCCTCTATATTTATTTAAGACAGATAATATTCTTACTGAGGTTCATTCAACTAATAGTGTAGAAAAATAATTTTGAATTTCTTTTATAATTAAAGAAAATCCTATGCTTATAATTACTGAGTTTACAGGGAGTGTGTGTGGTGTGTGTGTGTGTGTGTGTGTGTGTGTGTGTGTGTGTGTGTGTGTGTGTTGAGTGTGGTGTTAGTGTGTGTGTGAGTGTGTGTGTGTGTGTGTGTGTGTGTGTGTGTGAGAGTGTGTGTGTGTGTGTGTGTGTGTGTGTGTGATGTGTGTGGTGTGTGTGTGTGTGTGTGTGTGTGTGTGTGTGGTGTGTGTGAGGTGTGTGTGTGTGTGTAGAGTGTGTGTGTTGTGGTGTGTGTGTTGTGGGTGTGTGTGTGTGTGTGAGTGTGTGAGTGTGTGTGTAGTGAGATGTGTAGTGAGTGTGTGTGAGTTGTAAGTGTGTGTGTGTGAGTGAGTGTGTGATGTGTGTGTGTAGTGTGTGAGTGTGTGTGTGAGTTGTGTGGAGTGTGTGTGGTGTGTGTGTGTGTGATGTGTGTGTGTGTGTGTGTGTGTGTGTGTGTGTGTGTGTGTGTGTGTGTAAGTGTTTTGTTGGTGTGTGTAGTGTGTGTGTGTGTGTATTTGTGTGTGTGTGTGTGGGTGTGAGTGTTGTGTTGTGTGTGTGTATGTTTGTGTGTGTTGTTGTGGTGTGTGTGTGGGTGTGTGTGAGTGTGTGTGTGTGTGTGGGGTCTGTCTGTCTGTCTGCTGTCTGTCTCTTTGTCTCTCTTGTTCTCTCTGTCTCATCTGTCTCTCTGTCTCTCACTCTCTCCTCTCTCTCTCTCTCTCTCTCTCTCTCTCTTCTGTCTGTCTGTCTGTCTGTCTGTCTCTGTCTGTCTCTCTGTCGTCTGTCTGTCTCGTCTGTCTCTGTCTGTCTCTGTCTCTCTCTGTCTCTCTCTCTCCTCTCCTCTCTCTCTCTCTCTTCTCTTCTCTCTCTATCTCTCTTCTCTCTTTCTCTCTGTCTCTCTCTCTCTCTCTCTTCTTCTCTCTCTCTCTCTCATGTGCAAAATTTAAATGGCTAGAAGAAATTCAGTAACAATTTGTGGCAAGTATGTTTTTCTTCTTCTTCTTCTTTCATCTTTAGATTCAGCATTAAGAGGTTTATAAATTAGATAACAGTTTAGAATGAGTTATTAAAGAGTGTAATATTAGTGTTGAAGGATGGCTTGTTGGATTAATGATAAATGTAATGATATACTAAATGAATGAATAATGGTAAAAACATTATATTTGGAGTGTATGTAAGATAGGAGATCCAGCAAGTGCATCAGAAGTTTGACAGAGTCGTACCATTACTTGTATACTCCAATGTTTTAAATGTAAAGGAAATTTTCTATTTACATTTTTTTTTTTGTGTGTGACATGGAAGGAAAGGCTTAGTATTTTAGATTTAGAAATTGATGGTTGGATTTTATCACTGCAACTATGCCTTTCAGGCCAATTCCTAAGCAATAGAGTATAATTTTAATTCTTTAAGGTATTATGTGCAAGTTTGTATCATTTGATCAGAAATACAACCAATGTTTTGTACAATAAAGTTTAGTGAGACAACTTGACAAATAACTTTAAAGATGGTTAACTATACTCTAAGGTCAACATACTTTTTGTCATAGCCAGAAGTTTAAAAATAATTCTGTTTTCTACCTTTTAAAAGGTGTGTTTTTATTTGTATTTTCCATAAATTTGATTTTCCGATTTAAAACAGACTGTATGCAACGGTTCTCTTTTCCCCCTTTCTAAGGTTGAGCCTTAAGAATGAATGACTGCTGGAAACGGAAAGTATAGAAAACTTGAATCGCTTTCAAAAACTATTTTAAGGTTAAATAAGGATCAAGATTTGTTTGGCATTTTGGTTCAATCATTTATAAAATGTACAAAAGCATTATCCTCTAAACATGTTCTTGATTTCATGGTCATTTACAAACTAGCCTGGAACTAAGTGTATAGATAGCCTTTGGCAATACTGTTATTGTGAAAATCATTTTTCTTAATTATTTCCTGTAAATATCACTAATAAATTAGTAATTTTGCTCTTTGTGTTTCATCTTATAAATATTTTAATGGAAAAAATATAAGGTTTACTGATATGTTGTGTTGAAGTGCGAAGTCAT